ACTTTCAAAATACTCAAGATTTTATTTTTCAGAATTAATGGTATCAACGTGCATATAATATTGCTTCTAGATCCCGGAAAACCGAGATTTACGTCAGGCTACCTATTATCAAAATAAAAAATGTTTACATATGGCAATGGTATGTTATTGAAAAATAGAAAGTGTAAATATTTTAAACATGCAAGATCGATTGTTGCTTCTGTGGGCGAAAACATCAAGAAAATAAGATGGCATTAAATGTAAGGTGTCGACGCGAGGGTACGACTTTTCTGATATCTGAAATAGTCGTTAACACCGGAATATAAACAGTAACCTAGTATTGAGACGGATATGTGGTTCGGGACCATTAATGCAATTGCGAGCTCTGGCCACTGGTATCATTATAGATATAGTCGTAAGTTACGCTTAGTAAATAGAAAATGTAGTTATCCAAAAACAAATCCTTCAACTATTTGTGAACCTCCAGAGCGCGATGACATGGGCTGTTATGAACTTTTCATTGAAATACCATACATGGATACCCGTAAAACAAAAACATTGATAGTGCCACGACAAATTTTTTTCACGATTTTATAAAAGAGTTTTAAGGGAACTCCACTCTGAGTATTCGAATTTTTGATCGGCTTACAATCGCATTTTAAAGTCATTACGATTTCTCTACTCTTACTTCAGATTTCTGTGGTCGTTAATTTCGGTCTATAAAATTTTGTTTCCCAAACCAGCAATATTTCGCCAAGTTAGGACAAGAAGAATCATGAAACATAGCTCACGGGTCTGTTATACACAATCCAAAAGCGGTTGAATCGGAGACCGGCTCATTTTAGTGTCAGAATATACCAGAAAACATGTATATAAAAAAAATGTAAACACAATTTGACTTTCGCCATGAAATCTATTGGTCCTACGATTTGTTTGTCGCAATACTTGTACACATTCCTTATGCGATGAGTTTTACTTTTCGTTGTATGTATCAGATGGTATTACGCGATAAAAAGTACATATCCGACTTTTTTTCTTCCCGCAAGATGCGAGTAAAGCTGCGGACAAGGAACCAGCCTGTTATATCCAAGGACCCTCTATATTTTGAAATGCCTGATTCTTCGCGGCGTGTTGGGCGATGTTCACATAGAAAATTATGTTTTATAATAATGTGTAGTGGAAATTTGATCACTACACGTATGGTAACAATATCGCTTGTACAAATGCAGGCTATATATATATACCGGTATACAATATATTCATTCATTTAAACATGAATTTATTTGGTAGGAATTAAAAATTGATGTCAAGGTGATTTGCACCTTAGCAGATCTGCAGTATATAAAATATCAATGTTCAAGAAAATGGCTGAAGTGCCAAGTGTCGCCTGAAACGTAAAAAAAATCAGCAAAAATATGAAGGATATTAGCGGCACCAAACAAAAGCAATTTTATTCTGCGCAAAATTAATACAGGTGCGTATTCCCAAACTGCAATTGTATATAATTGAAAGAGTGAAAAATATACTATTTTAAGTGTGGCCCCACAAAGGTAACTAATAGTCACACTGTCTGGCGGAGTAACCATACTTAAATCGGCGGAAGTAATCAGTATTTATTTTATCCCCGTGAAAAAAATACACTCAATGCGAACAATAGAAAGAAAGTACAAGAATATGGCATTTCAGAGTGAAAGATGGCGCGAGAAACCAAAACTGGTTAACCAGCAGCGACACCCATGATTAAATCTAAAATAGTTAAACATTACATCATGAAAAAAAGTTTACAGTAGAACAGCGAACAAAACCGAATACTTACAAAAATAATAAAAAAAGACTCCGAACATCGTCTTTATAGAAACAACATTCCAAAGCCACAGCGACACCCATTGCAGTACCGGTATCTGTGGCATTGTCCCGTTAGCTTTTATATAGCGAATAAATATAGTATATTGACGGGGTTTCTGGTCCAGAAACTAAGATTTTTAGATATTTAGGATTCGTTTGAGAACACGCGCATAGCGCCTATCTAAGTTATCTTATATGCGAGAAGTGCCAGACAGACATTGTGACTAAACTAAGAGATTTTGGCACATATTTTGTGACATCACGAAGGAATAAAGTTTTGGAGCAATAAAGAAAAGCCTTCCGTCTGTTTGTACTGTTTATTTGTTATATTGTTTAAACTTTAAAGCACTGTGGAGATGATTAAGTAAAGAAAAATGTGGTATGGCTCGCACGGAAATGCAATAGAAAATATGTACCTTTTATGACTCTCTTGGCCAAAAAGGTTCCCGACCCCTGCAGTAGGTAGTGGGCTACGGTCTCAGGTACAAAACACTGTTCGCAATATCCGTCGGAACGACAACCAATTTTATGTAAATGTGCATTCAGGGCACAATGACCAGTTTGCAATCGGCACGAAAAAACTTGATATTTGCGTGATAAAATTTCGTTTTCGAAGATAAAATATTTCATAATAGCCCACTAATTCGCTATTAACATATTCCGTATTCCAATTTTCTCGAGATAATGTATTAAAATAGAATTGTGCTTCTGAGGCAAAAAGTGGAAGTATTGTATCAATGGAAAGTTTGTTGATTGCTCCTTTTGCCAGATTACCCACTATTTTGTTTCCGATAATCCTACGTGAGCTGGCGACCATAGGAATGTAATTTGTATTCCTTGTTTTGTTAACACCGAGTTTATAGTATTTTCGACTAAATATGTACTTAAATGCTGAATAGTTACGAAGCGATGAAAGGACATTGAGACGATCCGTTATTACGCGTTCCGGTCTTCTTGTTGCATTCTATCCGAGACAACTCAGTATCGCGTATAGCTCCGAGACGAAACGATGTAATTTCATTTTTTCTCTATTTGGCTTGAGGCACATAAAATGCAGCACCATCAGATGAATTTTACGAACGTCTGTGACTACTTGTACATAGCCTTGGTAGTTTTCGTGTACATGGTCAAGAAATGACGATTGAAGTATTGTTGGTGAACATGTTCTATCATAAATCGTTAAAGATGTATCAATTTGCGGTGGCTTCATTATCGAGGGAGGAGTCTCGAAATTGACATCTTTTCATATCAAACGTTGCAAAGAATAGTTTTTCGGGAAAATAATCCTCCCTAAGACTGTTTGAATAATTGTGCTGTAATTTCGCTGTCATGACGAATCATTCTGCATTTGTAATGTAGGCATTTTTTATAATGTATATGTATAATAATTATGCAAAGGCATTTCGTTACACTTGGATTGTAGAGCTATAATTGGAGTACTTTTCAATGCATCCAAGCGAATGCGTAAACGTTGCTATTGGATTACCGCCCGTTGCCGCAATATAGAGGGAGATAAAATAAAATGCCTCCATGCCGTATTCAATAACTGGTTTTATTATCGCCCTATATACTGTAAGCAAGGTAATCTTATTCGCACGCCACTTCGTACCAGATAATGCACGTAACAAATTCATTCTTTTACCGCAAATTTTCTATGCATTCAATATGTTTTATTTGTGTCAATCGAGAATCAAATATGACTATTTGCATTTATTCTCAATTGTAAAGAAAGATCCTTTTATTTTAAATATTGTTTGGCAGTTTTCTTCGTCTTCTGAAAAGAATGGCTTTGGATTTTGTTTTCGTGAGGCGAAACCCCCAATCATTTCACCAGTAATTAGTATTATCTCGCTACCTTGAGGAATTCCGTTATCGATATTGAATATATCGGACATTGTGTTGCCGATACGGACTTGAAAGGTACGAATGGACGAAGATCGACCACGTATCCCAATATTATACAGTTTGTATAAGAGGCCACAACGCCAGGCCATGTCGTAAGCCTTTTCTACGTCTAGAAACACAGCTAGAACAGATCTTTTATTTGTCAAAGCTTTATAGATATCATGTATCCGAAGGATATCATCGGTTGTTGAGCGATGAATTCTAAATCCAGATTGTTTCGTCGTTATCAAACTAAACTTTTCAAAATATCATTTGAGGTGATTTGCAATTAGTCGTTCGTTCCATTACCTCACATAAGTCAGACGTCAACGAAATTGGTCTGAATGACGATATAAGATTCTTTGGTTTGTTAGATTTTAATATGGGAACTACGGTGGAGTGGCGCCAATAAGCAGGTAATTGTTCTTCTACCGAAATAAGATTAAAAAGTTGCAAGAGTATTATTTTGCATTTATGGGGCAGGTGTCTGAGTATAGGATAACATATTTCATTCATCATATCCAGGAGATGCATTCTTTCTCGGTCGCAAAACGTTTTCAATTTCCCATTCCGATTCCGACAGATTAATAATTACCGTATTTCTCGGGTCGGGAAAGTCGCTTTTCTAGACCCAAATTTTCGGCCGGATTTTTTTTTTTGAAGCGGGGGTCGTCTTATTGGGCGACTTTAATAATTTTCATTTTATTGGTGTCGCCTTATTATGTATTAGGTAATGTTCTTTTATGGTGGACGCAATCGCGAGTTGAACACAATTAGATTAAAATTTCAAGACAGTTTGAATTCCCGTAGTTCTTATGGATCGAATATTACGCATATAAAAAAAACGTCATTATAGGCTATTTTAACCAATGCGCAAAAGGCATTGTCTGGTAATTTGAGATTCCGATGTTGATGCGATTTTACTACCCCGACTTATTGGCAGGCTATAGTCAAAACCCCATTTTTTTCAGGCTTAAAAACGGGCCTCGTCTCATTTACCGGGTAGACTTATTCGCCGGGAAATACGGTAATTGATTTAATTACCACAAGTTTTAATTTATAACGTAATCAAAATGCTTGGGAAGTTGCATTTAAATGTTATGTAATTTCATCACTCTTGTTGTGATGATATTGCGTTCTATGTCCAATTTAATGTGTATATGTAATCATGATTTCTGCTATGCTAATTATGCTTAATATAGCCTATGTTCCAAATAACAATTATATATTCAGTTCGTTTCCCGACATTGGATATGCCACTGCTTGCTAATAAATATAAGAATCAATTTTAATATGCTTCTGAATTTATTCAAGACTATAAAAAATGGGGCGGAAAATCTTCATCAAAAACAGTGATTCTTTTGTTTCGATACTCGGTCACTTTGTTGATGCATGTGCTGTTAATTTTCGAAAAACATCTCAACGCTATTGTCGACGTCGTGTATTTCATCATTTTCCATTTGATCCAATTCGCTTGACAGATCAAGCAAGTCATCTAAAAGAAGATTATCAATTTTTAAGCAGTTTTGCATGGCAAAATTTTGAGCTGAGGAATGTCCTGCCGCTGCATCGAGATAGGTTTCTGTTCAACCAGTGGGCATAAAAAGCATAAAAAATCCATGCAAATATTATAAAAATATCTCTTATAAATAGCATATAACCTTTAAGAGACCGAAATGTATTTAATATAACGACAAAATGTAAACTGCCAGAGTACAGTTATGACACGCATTAGTTTGAATAATTAACTACATCTTTAAAATAAATCGTACCCATCTCTAGTTCCATGACTGTATCAAATCCATTCATCATTTCGTCGGCTTTCTCTCCATATTCTTCTTGAACGGCATTTTCGATTTCATTCATGATGTCATTGTATGCGTTGAGATCCTATTACAAAAAGATTTCAAGTTTACTTGTTCAAATTACTTGGGGTCAACTAAAAAACAAAAGTTATACGTGTGAATTATACATCAACCTTGTACAAACAAATATGTTGTTGCAGTTGGAGCGATTGTTGCCCCGAAATAGAAAATATTTGTTTTTTAGTTTTTTGTGAAAAAGCAATTTAAGATAAATTGATAATTTTTTAGCTATTGCCGTGGTTTTGTTATCATGTTTGTGTTTTGAAATCTTGAAAAAAATGGCAATTAACTACCAATAAGCAATATTGCCATATATATAATTCTGAAATGTAAAATTATTATCATCATATAGTCACCGTATCACGCAGAGTCTTTAACTGCTCTAGAGGGTTGTCTCCCAATACTGCAAATGTCGACAGCAATTTTTTTACAGTTTTGAAGCAGTCAATCAATTTTTTGATGTCACTGTAAAAATGTATATCAATAAACAGATAAAAAAGCACGCCTGTTTTTTCGTGTTTGAGCAGCAAATATTTTAATTAGAGACTGTTGAAGTAATTCAAAATTGAGAACATTTACATGCATTTATATATGGTTTCTTGTCTAAAAAAACGTTTTAGGCTGCCAATGTTTAAGGTATTTATTTAAATGTTTACTTAATTAAATCCATATGGTCATTTATATCAAAACTTTCACCTCTTAATTATTTTTAAAAATTATCAATCTGTTATACAAGTTTTTGTTATAGAGACAAACCTCCAGTTACTTATAACTTTCTGCCCAAACTTCCAGACTTTCTCTCCAACGACTTTTTTGACAGCTCCTACTGCCTTTTGACCGACTCTATATACGACTCTCCTCACCCTTGTTACCACTCTTCTAACCACACGACCGAAACGATGCCTTCTCCTTCGTCTCCGTCTCCGAGAATTACCCGAATCAATTGCAATGATTGCAATTAGAAGCAGAACAAAAACAAGCTTCATATTCATCGCGCTGTTTATGCAACTTATGTCTGATGCAACTTCGATAATTATTATTTTATTGTTGATGAGTATAATATTATTATGGTGGGGTAAAAAAATAATGTAAGATATGATAGAAATACACAATTTATGAAGGGCTTTGTCGTGTGGAAAGTACATATTTAATATTCAACCATTCAGTATGTACTAACCAATTCATCAGGAGCAGGTGATTGAATCGCAAGGCTGACCAAATATCTACACTCTCATAATACGACCACGCCAGCGCACTAATCAATCGATCAATTATATTGGCCCGACCGTAATAAATTTTTGAGAAAAATATTGTATGATAATGAATATCTGTCATATCAACTCAGGCGCATGATCAGTAGAAAAATGTATTTCGCTATTGTGTGAATCTTACCAAGATTGACAAAGTGTAACCACGGTGTGCATTTTATAGGCGCGCGTTTCCTATTTTGCCGTGACTCAGGATATGTGTCAAAATTCATACGGATATATAACACCTCCGCGACATTGTAAAGGAAATTTACCGAAGGAAACTGTTGCACTGAAATATTAATTTCGATAGCAGATAATAAGAAGCTTTTAAAAAATATTATTTTTGTGCGCAATAAAATATTTTAAATTGGTCAACAGCAGCTAGAACTATAAGAATACACAAACTACACAACAATAGTGAATAAAACAACCTGTTTAAGTGGTTTAAGATTGTATTTTTCGCTAAAAAGCTATTACTTTTATTTATTTCAAAAATTTATCTTGGCTCTATGGGATTCGTTTTTGGTGTACGATGACGCCATCAAAATTAATAATTGGGGATCTAGTGGCGTTTCCGCGTTAGTGGTCGGGCGAAGTCGTGAATGCTGCGGTATTTGTAGTCAATCTACTGTGACAGATGCATAACCGTACTACTTCGTTTTGGCGTTTGTGTTCATATATTTGAGCATCGCTCTCTTGCTTGATCCATTCTCATTCCATATTGTGAACAAAGTTAGGTCTCCCGACATATCGGACGTTCAAGCCTAGCGTAGCATTCTTCAAATGCATATTTGATGTTGACCATGGGGGCAAACTTGATACCTAACTTCAATCGTTAGTAACAAGTAATACCGTGTTACCCCGTAAATAAGACCTAGCCTAAAAATAAGACCTAGCCTGAATTTTGAAAATGGTTTTAATATAAGCCCTTCCCTAAAATAAGACCTAGTCAAATAAAAGCGTGTTATTTATAAGTAAATGGATATATATCGGTTTTCATATTTTGTATACTTGAAAATCCTGTAATTCTCTACTTTGTTATTTTGTTCTTGATAAATGAAAATAAAAGACATCCCCCCAAAATAAGCCCTGGTGTTATTTTTCGAATAAAAATTGAATTCTTAGGAAAACACGATATGTGTATGATACTCAAGTAATTCTGTAACTATCTATCTTTGTGTCAATTCTAGTTCGAAATACTTTCAAAATACTTACGTTTTTTAATTTTTTCAGAATTAATGGTATGAACGTTAATATAATATCGTTTTTTAGGTCCTGGAAACCAGAGATTTACCTCAGGCTACCTATTATCAAAATAAAAAAAATGTTTACATATGGCATTGGTATGTTATTTGAAAAATAGAAAGTGAAAATATTTTAAACCAGCAAGATCGATTGTTGCTTCTGTGGGCGAAAACATCAAGAAAATAAGATAAGAAGGCATTCTTATAAATAAGGTGTCGACGCGAGGGCACGACTTTTCAGATATCTGAAATAGTCGTTAACACCGGAATATAAACAGTAACCTGGTATAGAGACGGATATTTGGTTCGGGGTCATTACTGCAATTGAGAGCTCTGGCCACTTGCATTGATACGGATATTGTAGCATACGCTAAGTGGATAGAAAACGTAGTTGGCCAAATAAAATTCTTCAATTTTTTGTGAACCTCCAGAGCGCGATGAAATGAGCTGTTATTATATTCTCATTGAAATACCATACATTATCACAGGGATGGCAAAGATTACTTTATGAATGGGTCCTAATTATATTTTATTGTGGAAAATATATATTATTAAAAAATTTAATTTGCACCAATGAAAAAGTCGCTATTGCACCGCTTCTAGATTCCAATGCTCCTTGTTGGTATTGTGTAGTTTTGAGAGTTACACATGCAGCACTGTATCAGGACGGTGGCTATGTTTAGTACCATATTTTATATGAGTGTAAATTCTGACATAAATTGTGAGTGTTCGCACGTATATATATGAGTTTTAAAGGAAACTACACTTTGGGGTATTAGAATTTTCGATCGACTTTCAATCGCATTAAAGTCATTACAATTTCTCTATTGTTATTCCAGATTTCTGTGGTCGTTGATTTCGGTCTATAAAATTTTGTTTCCTGAATGTTTGCGGAAAAAGAAATACTGCAAAGTGGCATCTAGTTCTTGCATGACCTGTATAGGCAAGTTAGGACAATAAAAATCATGAAACATAGTTCACGGGCCTGTTATTCACAATCCAAAATCGAGTGAACCAGAGGCCCTCTTGCCGCCTAAATCTGGTAAAAGCATACCGTCAGAATATACTGAAAATTCCAGAACAATTGGTCCAGTAATCGAAGAGAAAAGCAATTTTTCCACAACTATAGGAAGAAGATTAAAGAACAAAAACAACAGTAACATGATAACACAAAAGAGCTATGTTCAAATATATGGACACGCCACAAGGTGTCGCTATTTTTTATTCTGACACATAAAAAACCAATCTCCCGAAGTCCACAGAAATTTTTGAAATAAGTAAAAGTAATAGCTTTCTGGCGAAAAAATCAATCTTGAACCATTGAAAATTTCAAACAATTGGTCCAGTATTCGAAGAGAAAAGCAATTTTATCATGACGAAGGAGAAGAAAAACAATAACAACAACATAATATTGAAACGATTGTTATGTCCATTGACGTGTCCAAAACGATCTATATGCCCAGTCCGTGTTCAATATTGCACAAAAAACATAATTTGTGCAAATTTCTAAATCAATATGAGATTGTTTGTTACTCTTTGAGTTTAATAAACTTTATTGAGTCTTTTTGAATACAACTGTCAGATCTTATTTTCTTGTAGTTCAAGAAAACTGTCAAATTTTCAACCAGCGAAAATTAAAATTAACTCAACGAATTTGATTTCATAGAACGGTATTTTATCTACTTGTCCTTGAGTAATCGCATGCTGTTGTCGCGGACCATAGCTTTTGCATTTATATTGTGTGTATATACAGTGGTGGGATTCAGCCGGATTGCACCGGTTCTATAGAACCGTTTCATGGAATTTTATGAGATCAGCGAACCGATTACTGTCAATTGATTTTTGCATCTTATCTGACACACCGATTTTTGAAATCAAGTAACTCATGTGTTTTTGCACGTAACAGTTATACTTGTGTTAATTTTCATAATTGTAGTAATTTTTCTTTTGTGCTAGTTTTGGATTTTGATTTACCTACATTCTTCGAAGCTGTGACAGTGGCGAGCAAGGCGACGGATTTGGCGGAAATCATTGACGGCAATTTCGAAGGTCAGAAAATGGAGCGAATCTCAGCATGGAGGAATTCTGTGCCGGAAACGTCAACTTCTGGAACGGTGGTTAAGCGGACCATGGCTTATGTCTTCATCTGGAGGGGGTGATGAATGCACGGTATACAGGTATGGACCTTTCCCCGAGCATCGACTTCCTTAAATAGCGCATGATTGCCACCAGGTATATTCATGTCAAAGATAAATAAAGCACAACCGGTGTATAATAAAACGATATAATTTGCCGACGTTTCGAATTTCCATTCAGAAAAGTGATGCCCTGATGAAGTTTTTCTGAATAGAAATTCGAAACGTCGGCAAATTATATTGTTTTGCTATACACCGGTTGTGCTTTATTTATCTTCGACATCGACTTCCTTGTTTACTTTGTGACATTGGCCAATCAGCAAGATGCAAAAAGTGACGAAACAATGTCCCCTTTTCGCATTCGCTCAGACACTTTTCCCACTCAGACAGATTTTCAAGCGTGGTTGTAAACATTACCTCGTTTTCGCGTTTTTGAACTCTATTCGTTAGTTTTCAGTTGTGTTTCGGGAACTTAAATATAAATCAGATAATTCAAAAGATCACTCTGTCTTCCTAGGAGAATAAATTGCAGTAATAAAAATTAGTTTAGAAATAGCTGTGATAGACTAGCCTGAAATTCTTTACCGGTACTTTTAAAAAACAGATTGTTGTATGCGATGAATCATAATGATGGTTTGAAACACATACTCCATTTTACAAGCGCCAACTCGTAAAAGCACTCTTAAAATAGCACCGAAAATTTTGCAATGGTAAAGTATAGAAAGAATTTTCCGGGGGTTAAAGGTCGGGGAAAGGTCCATAGTCTACCTGACTCTACCATGACCATGGTCCATTGTGATGTCAAAAACAAATTTCATTAAAGTTGGGACTTCCGGGTTGGATACCTTGTGTATTTATTTTGCACTGATTGACTGCGGTGATGAGAAGCTGGGTGGTAATGGCTGACAAGAATATTTCATAGGCTGTTTTGGGCATGGGCCTTTTTGCTAAACACGACCATACGGCGTACACCCATGTTCCGTACAAGTGAGCTCGATATGGCGGACGAAAATGTTTAGTGGTGGGAAGACTGTGTGTTCCAAGTTGCAGCAGAGTTTGGGAAATAAAAATTGTCCCCCCTTGGTGTAGAAAAATGTGTTTGGCACATGAGTGAGCTTTCGAGTGAGACGACCACGTCTATGTATGCCCATATTTATTCCTACCACTTGAGTCTGTAGTGAGCAGCTGAGAAACTTTCCCTTTTAGCTGGTTTGTCAGAATGCCGGCTGTGTGGAATTTCCCCTGTCTATTAGGTTATTATTATAGTGTTTTAATGCCGTAAATCTATGTAATTCTTGTTGTAAACTGATAATACTACTACAGGTTAACAACCGTTTCCCAGTTTGGCATAGCTCTGTTCACTAGTTATCTTGTAATTAACGTTTCCGTAACTAGTCTACTTTTGCAGTTTACGGTACTTTCCTGTTCCGTATTTCTATGTGTATTAACATGTCCAATACGTGTTTGTTGACGAGATAAGATTTGTGTTGTATCTTTAGTGTCATACTAGTTATTCCTGTTTATTTCTAGGTATATTTGTATATTCCATTACAGGCCAATAGTTTATGACTGTGACGTCATAGACCAATTCTGTATTTTGTGTTCCGTATGTATTTGTATGGTATTTTGTACTGCATTTTTATTTGTTTATTGTATTTCTGATTGGAGTGTTTAGTTGTATTGAGTTCTTACAGGTGTATAATTAATCTCATTACTATATTTGTGATTCAGTAGTCAAGA